ATACTACCCAACGCCACACTCTTCGCAATTGGTAAGCCAACAACCTGCACAAAAGGCATATTCAGTCTGTGCCAAATAACATGTTACGCAGCACCATCATCTTTTGCAGCACTCTACAGAGTGAAAACACACAGGGAGATAACAACTACATAAAATAGTAGAAACGAGAACTCCACCCAACAGATCTTCCAATTTAAAAGCAAAAAGAACACAGTAGGTAAGGAATATTTGTCATCAAAAAGCAGTTAAGAAAAAACGTGTTGGCCAAGAAGATTCTGAGATGGATTTTTAGGGTACAGTTGCAGGGATGGTAAATGTTTGATGATGAGTTTCAGAAAAAAAGAGCGGAATTTGGAGGCTGCGAGTGAGAAGTGATAACCATTGAGGAAGGTCTAGCCAGATGTATACCTGGAAGCTAAAGAGGAGCCATGTGAAAGTCGTTTTGAGGACTCTGTGGGTTAGAACTAGGACTGGATATTGTACATGAGATGTACAAGTTGACTGGCCGCATTTATACTACATTAGAATGGAGTTAGCCTATTAGTCTAAGGCAGCTAGAGAGAAAATAGCCAAATCAATGAAACACTGGCCTATATGTAGAACTCTTTTTTTTACAATTTTTTGTTTAGGTGAAATTAAAAAAACCTAAAAATTATATATATATACATATATATATATATATATATATATATATTGGATTTCACCTAAGAAAAAGTATATATATATATATATATATATATATATATAAAATCCAAAATTAAACACATTTTACAAAGTTTGTTTGTGCATGGTGTATCTAAAGTTTGTTTTTTTGTGCAATCCAATTACTTATTTCTGATTAAAATTGACCAGATGGCAGTCAAAGATATTCAACAGTGTTGACTGATGTTTCTTCTTTCATAATTCTTTGATAAAAACATTGGAGCAATTTAAAAAAACACAGGCATGTTTGTGATGGCAAAACAATGTTATTTATAACCAAATTAGTAATTTATCGTGCATTGTTACATTATGAACAGTAAAAATAAATCAATGGTAAGTGGTACAGCCTGTGAAAGGTGTTTTCTAGTCTTTCTCGTACATATATATATATATATATATATATATATATATATATATATATATATATGTGTGTGTGTGTATTCTTTTTTTTTTTGGTTAGTAGAGAGTAGTTATTTCCATTATTCACAGGTTACAGGTTACAGTTCAGAACCATGGTGGTCAGCTATTTACCATTTTTACACCTGTTACGGTTTCTCTTAAAATAACTGTAAGAAAATATTCATATCACAATATACATACATATATATATATATATATATATAGCATTGAACATATATATATATATGTAGTATTTAATATTTTATATATATATATATGTATATATATATTTAAATTTTTATTTATTTATATATTTTTTAATTTAGTGTAGAATAGAGTGGTATAGTATAAATGTTCTTGACTGAAAAAATGTTGATTACATTAATTTGTACTTTGTTTTTTTTTTGTTTTTTTTGTTCACTAAAAGAAGAGATTTCTAAGAATCAAAAACCACCTTGTAAAAAAATGTTAAATGCCGCTAACAAAAAATAGAATCAATTTTTTAAATCCTATTAACTTGTTGAATGCCAATTTATTTGTTGTTGAATGGGTTATTTAAAAAAAATTAACACTGTCAGAAAACTATATTTTTTTCAAAGAATTCTACAGACTCTTCAATTCAAAATAGATTTATTTAAATAAAATCATGTATTTCAACAAGATATATCATCTGCATGAAACATTTCATAAAATTAGAAAAACAACAATTTGACTTTTGAAGGTTCATGTCTAAGAGACAATAGGGGCAATTGTAACATTGTATCATCTCCACGGAACAAACAACAGAAAATGCGAAACAAATTGAGTTTGGCGTGTTTAAGCGTGAAAACAGAAGCCTAATCCCACACTGCGAATAATCCTGTTGCTGAAATTAGCGTAAAGGGAAAAATTAATCCATGGCAACGTCTCTAAATCAGGGAATTAATTCCATTGGTCATTGACATGGCAATTATATAGATTGGTGTTGTAATAAAGAAATTATTTGGGGGTTAAATTTTAGCTTTTTGTCCACAGTCAGATTTAAACAACATTGCCTTTCTATCTGATGGGGAAGTACAAGTCTCAGTGATGTCATTTTTCCGTCTAATTGCTAAATTCTCATTCTGGAAACTGCTGATTTAACAATTATCACCCCCCTCATCCCACCAGGCCATCAGACCAAGCTGAAACTTGCAGTTCCCTCATACGGCATGAGTGCCCTTTTATACAATTCTCAGTTAAAACAGCCCCTCCATATCCCAGATTCCCAGACAATAAAATCAACACCTTGAAATAAAGATATTTCCACAAAACCTGCACAACATATTCAGTAATCCTGTTTTATAATTGATCAGCTTCTAGATAGTGTAGAATATTTATGTCAGCAAACAAGAAAATTATTTTGGCTTAGCCCAGGCAGTACAGATTGACACCCTCGCATGTATACATGTATACCGAGGGGACAAGAATGTCATGTATTCAAAAGTAAAGGGAAAGATACCAATATTTCTATTCTCAAAACAATTAAATTTAGATTTACACGTGATTTGTTGAAGTCATGCCACAGGTAAATAATATAAAGAAGAGGAGAGGTGATGGGTATATTTTAATCCAGCTTCGCCTGTCACATTTTTTAGTGCAAGAAAATCAGCTTGAAATCAGAGTGATAGCATGGGGCACGAGAAAAAGAGAGAATGAGACAGAAGGAGATGGAAAAGAAAAATGGGAAAGTTAAAGAGGAAATAAGTATGAGGGTGACAGGAGAGAGAGGGTCAGAGAAAGACAGAGAAAAGGATGAAGATGAGGGAAGAGAGAGTCCAAACAAGAGAGCGAGAGAGAGAGAGAAATGAAAGAAAAAGAATGTTTGAGGATGAGAGAAGAGAGAGAAGGTTGGAAGGAGAGAGAGAAATATGAACAATAATATATGAGGATGTGAGAAGAGAGAGAGAGGGTTGGAAGAGAGAGAAAAATATTAATGATTATGAAAAAGTATAAAAGGTGAGAGAATAGAGAGAGAGGGTCAAAATAGGAGAGAAAATGAGGGAAGGATTAAAGTACAAAAAAAAGTATGATGATGAGAGAAGAACAAGAGGGTCAGAAAAAGAGGAAGAAATCTGAAAGATAAAGAAAGCATGAGGGTGAGAGAAAAGAGAAACAGAAAGATATAAAAAATATGAATGTAAGAGAAGGGAGATGGTGTACACAGAGAGAAAGACAAATGCGGATGATAAAGAGATAGACAGTAAGAAAGTGAGTGAAAAGAGAGGCATCAATGAGAGAAATGTGAAGAATAAATAGAAAGAATATATTAAAGTGGGGGCAGGGGAAAGAGAGAGAGAGAGAGACAGAGAGAGAGAGAAACTATGAAAGAAAAAAAGGAAGAATGTATGAGAGTGAGAGAAAAGGGAGGATCAGAGAGAGAAGAAAAAATTGAAGCCAAAAGATTGAGGCATTATTAAGATACTTTTTAAAATAGACAGGGTAAATAAAGGTAGAAAGAAGGACGAAAAAGCAAGGTGGAAGGAAGGACGAAATGTAGAAAGAATAATTGTAGAAAGGAAGAAAAAAGGAAGAAATAAGGAAGGAAGAAAGGAAGAAAGAAGGAAGGAGGAAAGGAAGAAGGAATGAATGTAGCAAGGAAGAAATAAAAATTGCAGAAAAAAAGAAACTGATAGAAGCAATAAATAAATAGATAGATAGATAGATAGATAGATAGATAGATAGATAGATAGATAGATAGATAGATAATTATGAGATAGATAAATAGATAGATAATTATGAGATAGATAGATAGATAGATAGATAGATAGATAGATAGATAGATAATTATGAGATAGATAGATAGATAGATAGATAGATAGATAGATAATTATGAGATAGATAGATAGATAATTATGAGATAGATAGATAGATAGATAGATAGATAGATAGATAGATAGATAGATAGATAGATAATTATGAGATAGATAGATAGATAGATAGATAGATAGATAGATAGATAGATAATTATGAGATAGATAGATAGACAGATAGATAGATAGATAGATAGATAGATAGATAGATAGATAGGAAGGAAGGAAGGCAGGCTAATTGAAGACAGGCGTGGGATTGAGGGGGGAGTGGAGTAAAAGATCACAACATTATTTTCATCGAAATGTTTGTGTTAAAAATAATTTACCAATAATTTGCTAAAGGAGTTGAGAATCTTTACTCAATAAATTGTAGCTGTGTCTACTTTGAATACCCAGTCATGTGCAGATAAAATAAAAAATTAATATACAGGAATGTGCTTTTCACATGATTAGATAACTGAAGTAAATATTTGAAGATTTTCAACTCCTCTAGTAAATCAGCCTAAACATGTCAACATAAAATAATTTTTAATCTACTGTGGGGGGATTTATATATATATATTTATTTCTGTAGAAACAGTGTAGTGAGCACTAGAAAGCATAGTGTTCACTGGACAATGGACAGTTATTCGCACACGTGGAAGGGATTTTTACAACCACTGACAAATGACACATAGCATGGAGGAATGAAAGTGCACAAGGGAAGTGGGGAAATTTTGGGTCTTCTCTGATTAAGTCACAACAAGTGTATAATACCATGATATACTATTAGGCTCCAGCATCTTGATGATGAGGCGTTGAGGTCCTCTCCTGTCCATGGGATTTGGTGGGTTTATCAGCAAAAGAGTCAGGAGAACTGTCCATGAAAACTGGGGGAGGGTCATATAAAGACTTTGATGTGAGGTGTTGTAGGAAAAGTTTAATAACACCCATCTCTGATAACAGAGCCCCCCACTCAAAAATGTGTGCTGTACAGCAGTCTTGGGGTTCCCCCACTCATGTCATGATAGTTATGGGTGCATATTCCATGAGAGGCCCCAAACTCTAGGTGTCCTTTGTATCCGGCTG